AACCTCGTTGGTTAAGTTAAGTAATGACAAACCAGTTATTTATATATTCTTGCTAAAGCATCAGAATAGCACGTGAAGATTAAATAGATCAGATAACGACGATATACAAAACGGCTGGTAGAGAACTGGAAATTAATGTTTTCATACGGATAAATACAGAACGGTCTGTCTGTCGTTTTAATGAAGTTAGGAATAGTAGGTAAAGAAAACAAATTTTCTTATCACAGAAATCTATTGCACTAGAAAGTAAAACGAAGACGTCCTTCATAGAAACATCTCTAAATACAAGTAAGTTCTGGCGTCAGACCGGTCATTTGCTAACTACAATATAACTGTAGCGTCAGACCGATCTTTGCTAACTACAAGAAAGTCCTGGCGTCAGATCGACTACCTACAAGTTCTGACGTCAGACCGATTCACCCTTACATAATTACACTTCTCTTTGTAAAAGTAGTTCGTCAAGATTACACTCATAAATATTTATCACAGTATTTTGAAATAGAAATTTGTTGTGAATTCTCTATTGCCAGACTTTATGTTTTTTTTAAGTGTCTTTTCGTTTTCGACTACTTTAACTTGAACATTTTACGCATAATCTTTAGCAAAAACAGCTAAGTAAAACGGGCGGAGAGACGTATTGTAGTAAAATTATCAAATTTCTTATCAACAAACAAACTGCAAGATCTGCGATAGTCAATTCAGATCACCCACTATGCGTCTGACTTTTACTTGTTTTCTTCTGTTGAATTTCGTGCATAGCTAAATTGGAAGTGAAAGATTAGAGGGAATGCAGCTAGTCAACATCATCCACCGCCAGCTCTTCCGCTATGTTTTTACCAACGAAAATTGGGATTGACCATCACATTATAACGCCCCCACCTTAGAAAGAGCAAAAATGTTCGATAATGGAATTCGAACCCGCGACCTACAAATTATGAGTCGAGCGAGCACCTTTACCCACTGGACGTCTGCCTCATTCTAGTAAATAATTAATATCATTATTATCTTATGTAAAGTATCACATGTTAATGCATTCGACCCTCATTTTTGTTTTAGTTATATATATATATATATATATATATATATGAGTATACGTATGAAGGTGAAAACTTCACACTAAACGTTGTATGAGTAAACGTATGAAGGTGAGAAACTTCACACTAAACGTTGTATGAGTACACGTATGAAGGTGAGAAACTTCACACTAAACGTTGTATGAGTACACGTATGAAGGTGAGAAACTTCACACTAAACGTTCATCCAGCAGATACTTCTTTCATTTATTTCACTTAAATCTGTGATCTGAAACATAGAATTTGAAACGGAAAAAAACAAAAACTCCTCAGCGAATATTTCTAAGTATTCTAATCCAGGAACATTTATAGAAATATGTAGTTTATTCTAACCGATGCTAAAAGATACTGTTCAAATCCAGTATAATTCTGGATATTTGCATTAAGGGTGAATTTATTTGTTTCAGAATTTCGCCCAAAGGTACAAAAGTACAAAAGTTTTTCTGCGCATATTCGTCCCTTATTTTTAACTGGTAGATTAAATGGAAGGTATTTATTCAATTCCACCCATCGCCAATCCTTGGGTTATTCATGTCTTATCCAATAGTAAGATATGAATTTCAATCTTTAAACACACTCACAACCACAAAGACCGGCTATGCTAATCATAGGCCACGCCTGACCCAAAAAATGTGCTAAGGCAGAAACCTCTGGCGAAAAAGGGTCCATGTAGCAAAGGTCCCACTAAAAGTTTAGAGACTTTATATATTCAGTGTATTAAATTGTCAAGAAATTAATGTCGCATTTTGGAACATTTTCATTAACCACCCCCCAAAAAACGTACATCACGTATAATAGTTAAACTAACCGCCTAAACGTCACGTTAGTGTAGCCTATATAATGCGTATAGTTTAGTATACTCTAATCCCTTATAGTGATGGCACACGACGAGACACACATTCAGCATGTAATGCTGTTTGAACACAAGAAGGGAAACAACACCTCTGTAGCCACAAAGAATATCAAGGAAATTTATGGAAATATTTTGAACGTTCGTAAGTGTCAACGATGGTTCGGCAAATTTGTTCAGATGAATTTAGCCTTAAAAACTGTGATGGCAGGGGCTGACATGTTGGAATTGATATTTATACTCTGAAGACGCTTGTTGAGTCTAACCTAAGGCAACACATTCGTGAAGTGGCCCTGAAGTTGCATGTCTTTCATGAAACATA